TTGTGAAAATAATGGAAACCATCAGGTTGCTGATTTGCATAGTTCAGTTGAAAATGGTCATTCTGTGCCAGTGACTGCGAATGCATCATTTGTCCAAGATCAAGAAGAATGTCTTTCAAGTTCTGAGGATTCTTGTAATTCCAAAACAAATGACCCCAATGAGTGGATTTGGACCAATGCAGTCGAACTGCTGAGGGATTACAGAATCGACCTCCATGGTGGTTCCTTGCAAAAATTTGATTACGTCCATTCCTACACTCCAAAATACTTAACCCCAATAAAATTGGTTGCCCAAGACAAAGAGTCATTGCACTTTCCTCTAGGTGCTGATGGCGGTGTTATATCATTATTCGAGGATGACATATCAAGCATAGTTTCATGTGCATTGGCTCTATACGAGCATCAATATGGTCAAACCGAAAACACAGATGAGAAAGATTTGCTCGAAGGCAAAGTAGAACCCAATGTTGCAATCGAGAACTCAGTGAGCCAACCATCTGATAGTACTATAGCTTCTTCTTTTTGGTCATCTAATGGATCTTTAGAGTCCGAAGGAATCCACCCATCTCGTAGCATCTCATCGATTTCTTCTGATGAATCAGCGACATCTTGTTCTGAAAGTTCGTTCCCTGTTGATAGATTGATAGATTCAGAGTGTCTTCATCCTGAAATCCCCGTTGGTTATGGAAAACAAGCTGCAAGGAGTAAATATTCGGTTGTTTTAGTTCATGCCAAAGAGTTCTATGCTCTTCGAAAGATGTGTTGTTCATCTGAACTTGCTTACATTTCTTCGCTAAGTCGTTCCAAGAAGTGGGATGCTCAAGGTGGAAAGAGCAAAGCTTTCTTTGCGAAGACACTTGATGATAGATTCATCATAAAACAAGTCAAGAAAACCGAGATTGATTCATTTCTGAAGTTTGCCCCTGATTATTTTAAGCATATTTCTTTCTCCATAAAAACAGGAAGCCAAACATGTCTAGCAAAAATCTTGGGAATATACCAGGTTTGCTCCTTAACTCTCCAATTTTTGAGTGCACCCTTTTGTGGCATATAATGTTTTCTCAACAGATCTATGATTTGTATTATATTATACAGGTCAGACAAAATAGAGGTGGCAAAGAAGTGAAAACTGATCTGATGGTGATGGAAAATCTTCTCTTCGGACGTAATTTCACACGCACTTATGATCTCAAAGGCGCAATTTTTTCCAGATATGTTTCAGATCCTAATGATCCTGAGAAAAAGGTTCTTTTGGATCAAAACTTTATGGAAGATATGCGGATATCTCCCATGTACATTGCAGGAAGAAATAAACATCTCTTTCAACGGGCAATCTGGAATGATACATCCTTTCTAACTGTAAGCACACATATGAAGTTTATTTTTGGCTTAATTTCACAAAACCCCAGGACTTTTGGGGTTTTGCACATAACCGTCCAAAACTTATCTTTCTCTCTCATAAAACCCCTAAAGTTTGGGGTGTCCAACACACATGCATGCACAAAAAATATTATTTGCAAATAACTGTAGTTTCTATGAGATAAAAAGCCCTTGCCATGTTTAGGTAACATACACGCCCTACTCGCAGTTGTGGGGTTTTTTTCCTCTCAAAGTAAATTTTAGTTGTCAATTATAGGTAGAGGGTCCGGTGAGAAAAGTTTATAGTTTAGAGGGGTTTTGTGAAACTAACCCTATATTTTTCGTCTCCTATATTTAGACTTTGTTTAATTTATCTTTTTTTTTTTTTGCAGTCTATTAATGTGATGGATTACTCTTTGCTTGTGGGAGTGGATAAGCAGAGACATGAACTCGTATTTGGTATTATCGATTATTTGAGACAGTATACATGGGATAAGCATCTAGAGAGCTGGGTCAAATCTTCTCTGGTTCTTCCTAAAAATTCATTACCAACCGTTATTTCCCCCAAGGATTACAAAAATAGGTTTAGAAAGTTCATGTCGAAGTATTTCTTGACCATTCCAGATGCTATGGAAAGCTCAACGATGCTCAATGGAACCAAAACTTCATCTATTGAAAATCTCCAGAGTAGTCAAGTCGCTGAAGTATCATAAATTTGTTAAATCCAAATTTGTCTGTCCTGTAAATAGTTGTTTATCTAAGTTTTACCCAATATTTTGCGATTTTTTAGCAATTTTTTGGGGGTTAGTTGCTCCATGTAAACTGGTGCTTATTGGTACATGTTCTTTTTGTAATATCAAATTGTTGTATACTGATTGTAAAAAGACCCGCAGCATGATCATTTGTATTTCTGTTTGTTTTGAAAAAAAGTCCAGTGGGTTAAAAGGATGAAATCGATTGTTCAGTATATTTCAGTTAAATTGGTGTTGACAGGTTAACCACTGTATGTTCTGCGTAAATTATACAATGTCCATACGGTACAGTGTATTCTTTGGAAATTGCCTTTTTGAGATTTAAAGAAATGGCTCCCTTTTTACCCTCCCCCCAGAAAACTAATTTTTAGAGCATATACTGGAATGCACCCTAAGGCCATACTTGTAATCTGAAAAAAAAAAGAGAATGAGCCTATAACAGGAAGAGGAAGTCATATAAGTAGTTAAAACGACAATTTGCAGTTTAATTATATAGAAAAATATTAACATAGATTTTTTCTAGTTATTCATTCTTTTCTTAATTAAGATTGGTCTGATCACCCATTTTTCTGTGTTCTAATCATGAATTTAGCACCTGTAAATGTATGGATAAGATATATAGACAGTATCAACGTGTACTATATTTGTATGGGGTGAGGTTTTATCAGTCATCTATCACGATGGATTAAGATCATAATTATGTGAATGCATAATGAGAAGAGTCCTGCAAAATAATCAATTATTATGATCCATACATTATTTTCTTGCTGAGTTATTATTGGAAACAAGCAAGTTAGCAAATACTCAGAATACTACCGATACAAGTAGGCAGTATGAGATGCAAATAGGTTTTGAGTATGATTAAGGTAATTTAAGCAGCCTGTAATTGAGCAGACCAAATTATACATCCCCATATTGCATGATGTTTTTCTCTCTGAGTAAACCTCTAGAATGTACTTTTGCATGTTGAACCTGCTGACCACAAGTTAGGAAGTAAAATGAAGAGATCATTTCGAACTCCGTTAGATCTTAACTCAGTTGGTGATTAGTAAATAATGTAGTGACGACAGAAGCTGTGTTGGTAAGTTGCTCAGTTTGTGAAAAACATTTTCTCATGAGAATGTTAGAATTCTCTTCTTTGTTAGTGTGTATCTCATCTAAGACTCTAGGTTGCTCCTTTTATGGAAACATTTCCCAGTATCACACTGATATAGCGCATGTTGCTCAACCTTACACCAAAATGACAAGATACATGAAGGTTAAGCCTCTCATTCCTCAAAACATAATTAAGAAGCCAATCAACTCTTTCAAACCAATGAAACAATAAAATCCTTTCGTGTTTTCTTGGTCCTGCTTCTCCTGCTCTCTTTCAACTTAACCGAAGAATGACATATTCTTGCTGCACAACCTTAAAAATAAATAAATAAATAAATAAATAAATAATCCTGAGGTAATAGTAAGGCATAAATATTAATATTTACTTAGTCACGGAATACAATTTTCCTGCTTTCAGAAGGTGAAACACCTGAGGTTGCAAGTATTTAGAATTTTAGAAGACTTCGAAGGGTGGTCCCATATTAGTAATTACAGACAAGTCGCTATTTTATTGTTGATGAAACAGAGAAGATTTTAATTGGTTCTACTTTGAGGATTGAACTAAAGGCTCACCGTTGAAAAACAACTACACGTAGCTGGTAAAATTACATGAAGTAGGAACATAGATGTGAAAGGAAATAAGAACAAAGTTTGCTGACGAAAAATGCAAGAGAAGTAACACTAATTGACTGTGGATTATGATCCTAGAGCCCTATAATGCTAGGACATAACTGGCAAAGTTTTTATAGTCCATTCTAGAAGTAGAGTGTGATAATATTGTTGACACCTTATTTTTCATCAACAGAGATGGTGAAATGTAATAGGTAGATGAAGTTTCTTATATGCATATACTAATGCTAGATATAAATAGTCAATATCACCAATTCATTTAACGAGCGCATTATGCCAAACACTGTAGGTAGAAGTATGCAAGCATCAATAGTTACACCTCTTCACGTCACGGGCACATTTCATTGTCAAAAAGACCACAACTCAAGTTATACCCCTAATAGCATTTTACCTCATTAATATTATTCTTTTTGGTGAGTAAATTTGCACCAAAAGTATGTTAAAGTTTTCATTCTAACACCTCAACCCCAATGCAAGTTTCTCCCGGTATTCTATTTCCTCTTTGTTTATGTAAAACTCTTCACCTTAACAACCTCTCTTCATTCAAAAATCAAATATCAAACAAAGGCTACCGCTACCAGGGTGACAAAAAAAATTATAGTAACAATGAAAACAACCTCTCTTTTGCCTTGAGTACATGCAACAAACACTTACCTATCAAATACGCCTACACAAACTTCACTTGCGAAGTTTGATCAAATGAAACTTGCACCCCAAGGCGTTGATGCAATTAACTTTCTAGCTTACACATTTCGCGACAACCGACATATCTCATGAACCAAATAATGTCTTGCAAAAGTAGAGGTACGAACGGATACGATATGGATCGGATATGATACTTACCATACTCCGTATCCGCCAAAATCGAATATAGATACGAAACAGAGCAACAAAAGCATGACATCATATTGGTAATATGATACAGGAGGTGTTTAATAAGAAAAAGAACAAGCGTTGCAATACAATTATGGCTTCATTCCGCCTAAATCAAACGATACAATATCAAAATTACCAAAGAAGCAATCTTCTCTCTCTATCTCTATATACCCCCCGTAACCTTAAAATGAAAGGATAAAGATAAAGAATAAATAACCATCACCAAAGTTGAGATTTTTTACAATGACGACGGAGCAGATCCAGGCAAGATACCGAGAAGGAGATAACAGAGGAAGCAGAAGAAGATGAAGAGGAACAAGTAGTCCACCATTACGAAGAACTTCGTCGATCCATGCCTCCGATTAGGGTTAGGGTTTCGCTGACCTTTCTTCTTCTGCTTCTCGTTGGCGTCCATGGCTCTTTCGATCTCTGGATCTGGGAGATCTACTGTATATTCCTTTTGCGGGCTTTTTGAAGGAACGTGTCAATCGGACTGATTGGATCGGATGGGCTTATCATTGGGCCGAATCTGGGCCGTGCGCGTTAAAAGAGGCTTTACTGTTTCCCTGTAGAGCGACGTGTGTACAGGCTTGCATCTTGTACAGCCCATCCACCTTCAGAGGCTTAACCGGCTACTACCGGTCACCGACCAGTTCAAAGCCCGATACACCCCCCTTTCTCCAGTCCACGGTTCTCTTCTACGTCCATCGTTATTAGGCTCTCCGCCTCTCTCCTCTCTCTAGGGTTAGGGTTTCTCTCTCCTCAAAGCTGCGCTCCGCTATTTAATGGAAGCTTCCCGCCGCTCGTCGCCCCCTTCATCATCTCTTCGATACTGCTACTGCCGCTGCTTACGCCGCTGTTGCCGCTGTTTCTGTTGCTGTTACTGCAATTAGGGTTTCTGGAGCTTTTCGATGGATCTCACTCGTAATCGATCGAGCCTTTCTCTAGGTTTCCACTCGCACGCTGATGATACCGTCTCCGAATCTCGATCGATCCCTCTCCAGTTGCTCGACCAGCAGTCGGAGAGTCACAGAGAAGAATCGGTCAACGATGAAGGATCCGAAGAAGGTCAAAAGGAGGAGGAATTCAGTATTTTAGGCTACACGATGTGCATCAAGAGGCAAAAGAGGGAATCTTCGACTTCTTGCTTGTCGTCCTCTCTTCATCCTTTGAATAAACAAGCGGCCGATCCTGATCACGAGACGAGAAGATCAAATGTCAGATCTTGGGGGAATCAGCCGCTATCGGCGAGATCATGGAGAAAGAGAAGTGTCGGCAGGTGAAAGGGATTGAGCTGGTCGCGTCTGAGAACTATGTGTGCCGAGCTGTGCTAGATGCTTTAGGAAGTCATTTGACCAACAAGTACTCTGAGGGGATGCCGGGTGCTCGGTATTATGGTGGGAATCAATACATTGATCAGATTGAAAGATTGTGTTGGGAACGAGCTCTTGCTGCCTTTAACCTTGATCCTGAGTCATGGGGTGTGAATGTTCAGCCTTATTCGTGTACTTCTGCTAATTTTGCAGTGTATACAGGGCTATTGTTGCCAAGCGATCGGATTATGGGATTGGATTCACCCTCGGGTGGCCATGTAAGTCATGGGTTTTATACACCAAGTGGGAAGAAGATATCGGGGGCTTCCATATTTTTTGAGAGCTTGTCATATAAGGTGAATCCTCATACTGGGTATATTGATTATGAGAAGTTGGAGGAGAGAGCAATGGATTTTCACCCAAAGATTTTGATTTGTGGGGGGAGTTCATATCCCAGGGAGTGGGATTATGCGAGGTTTCGGCAGATTGCAGATAAGTGTGGAGCTGTATTGATGTGTGATATGGCGCACATTAGTGGGCTAGTGGCGGCTAAGGTATGTGTTCTTGTCTCAAATCTCGCCGGACATGTTGATTAAGATATTTCACTTGTAGAGTTGCTAGTTAATGCATCTTCTTGCCAAAGTTTTCTTTATGTTGATGATAATAAATGATGACTTTGAAAAAAACGGTTTTAAATAGTAATTGTTTTCTATTTGTCCTGTAAAGGTGTAAAGCATCATTTCTTTGCTTGAGATGATTTCAAGTAGATTCGTACAAACATCGCTGAGTCCTAAATGCATCATAGTATAGAAAAAAATCTAACCATTTCGACCATCAGATTATTCAGAACTTTCATCAATTTTTTTTAATCAAATTTGGAGCACAGCTTTAAATCTTGGGTTCTTTGGAGCTTTATTTCAAACTGTATGGGTTGATTTAAGTATCAGAACACGTGAAACTGATTATGCATATGATGAAGTCTAGAGCGTAGTTACAAAAATGGCATACAATAAAAGAGGTAGCTGGAGTATGGAAACATGTTGCATCAAAATGGGTATGGGTGTGGATGCGAGTACGGAACAAAGAAAGTTTGTAAAAAGTAGGGTACGGGGACACGACTATTTTCGAAATAGATACTCAAATGATCCTTTAAAATCACAGTTCTGAAGTGGGTATGCACTAAACAAATCCAACTAATGTCCACAAGTTCCATATAGTGGGTATAAAGTGTTGGATATATGTCCAAAAAGACTATGATGAGTGTTTTGAATTAAAACATATATTATATAACAGAGTACACATGGAGTTTGGTGCCTGGTATGTGTTGGTGCAGGTACAGTTTCATGTAGATGTACAAGAAGCTTGTTCTGAAACATAGGGAAATATTAGTTAGTTAGCTAGTGAATCATGTTTCTTTTTATAATAAACAAGGTAAAGTGCTATGTATATGACAAATTATTATTTGTTGATTGCCTAGCTCGTTTAGATGCATTTATTCAACTAAAAATTTATCTAATACTACAAATTGATGAACAGTTTTTATGTCTGTTTTGATTATTTTAGATTGCTTCATTGAATAATTCTATTAGAAAATATCTTTGACCAAAACACAACTAAAGTTAAAAAATAATAACAACATTAAGTGACATCATGTGAAACTATGCATTTTAGAAAAAAATAAAAAATAAAAACATGCTTAACAATTTCTTGTCAAAAAAGACACGTTTTTTGTTCCCCTTTATTAATGGAGTTTCGAACTTAAAAGGCAGGAGCCACATGTTTTTTAAAAAAAATGTAGTTCTGCTAATTATAGTGTAATGTTGTACATATTAGATGTTGGGGACATGTCGGATGGAAATACTTTTTATTAGACGGCAGATATCGGGAATATATTAGAGATACTTAATAAATACTAAGGTGTCATATCGAATAATGTGTGTATATATATCATAAGTATTCATGCTTGATGCTCCGAAAAATGGAGCTATGGAGGAAGGTGGTATGTCTTTTGTAAAAGAACTTGGTCTCAATTGAGCCCTAATTCTTCTTTCCGGTTATTTACGTATGCATATATTGCTTGGGTTTGACCACAATTGAACCATAAATCCAGACCAATCTTTTAAAACAAATAACATTGTTGTAAATAGAGGATGATAGCGGCGCTGATAGTGGTAGCGGAGCCTACCGTTTCGATTTCATTGATTGCGATGAACAATAGTGCTCATGAGCTTGCCAAAGCGCTTGAAAGCGGTACATAGCAACAAATAGTGATAAATAGTGGAAAATAGCGGTAAATAGCGGTAAATAGCGATAAATATGCTCATTTATTTATGCTTAAATACTTCATTATTATGTCAACTTTCAAATAGTTAATACAATTATGTTGCTACTAATCAGTACTTTTTATAGTTATTTTTCTATTAGAGACTTAAAAGTTGAAAGAATGGGATAAATAACGGTCTTTCTTATAGACATGTACACCTTTTCATTTTGTACAGTACTTTTGTTAATATGTTGTGATAGTTACACATCTATTTAATGCGTAGGATCTCCATAAATTATCAAATATGTATTTGTAAAATTTTTAGATTTTTCTTTTAATTTTTTGAATATTTATACATATTTATATTGGATTGCTATTTGGCTTTGCGCTTTTCGTGGCTATTTTGCCGCTATAGCCCCAAATAGCCTTAGTGGTGCCTCACTGCTATACGACGCTATCTGTTATCAGCAACTCTGACAAATAAAGATCCAAATCAGTATTGCAACACTTGAGCTAATTATTTAGGTCGAAATGTCACGTCATAGATTCGGGAAATCACGATATGCCGTCCAAAAGTTGCTAAAAGCGATAAAGGATATTGAAACTATGTCATCTTGTGGAAAGCCTTTTAAAAGAATATATTGGCCAATAAATTAGCGATTTTCGGGGGATATTTAACAATGTTATAATGGTCATAGAGTTTATCTCATGTAACGGAAGTCTAGAAGGTGGTAGTAGTATTAAATAAACGAGTTTTGTATCTTGTTATCTCACGTTATGTAACATGACAAACCTTAGACCTTAAACCTCCTCCGAAAGCGCTGACAATCGCTAGGTCTGCGCCTAGGCACTAGGCATATGAGGATTTCTTTTACTGTTTAAGTGGTGACGGCCTGACGGGTGAGGTTTTGCTGAAGATCGGAGGCACTGAAGTAGGTGTTTGTAGTCGGTGGAGGTGGTTGGAGGAGTTCGAAGGAGGTTTATGGACATAGAGGCAGCAATAGAAGAAATCACGATTAAGACCTAAATAGTGCAGTCCGTGTAAGTTCCACTACCTTATGTGCTCTCAAGACCTAGGCATGCAAGCAGGGGCTTTTTAGAACATTGAACATTATATTTTGAAATAATGCAATAACATTTAATCTATGTTATGACAATATTGTGTTCACTGTTTCATGATAGTACATTTGACAATATTGTGTTCACTGTTTCATGATAGTACATTTGAGACATTTTATTTTAGTACTTGTTAGCAAATTAGTGTATATTGTATTCATTTTCACATTTTTAATAAAAAATTTAAATGTGTTTGAACCATACTCCGATTTATTAAAATTATGGGGTTTTTGCATATCTACCCCTCAGATCTTCCATATTTGCTAAATTATCTTCTAAATCTTGATATTTGCAAACTTACCCTCCAAAACTCATATATTGGATCTTTCTATCCCTCCAGCTTAACATTGTTGGTTTCTAAACAAGGCAATGTCAAATTTCCAATAATTGTCAATAGGTTTGCAATACTTACCGTTTAAAAACTAAAATTGTTAAATGGGAGGGGTAGAAAAAATTGATATGAGAGAACTGGAGGGTAAATTTACAATTACCAAGATTTGAGGGGTTATCATGTAAATATGGAAGATTCAAGGGGTATATATGCAAAAACCGGTCATTTTGTATTTGTTTTAAATTAAAAATTAACAAAACATGCGACCCATGTTATTTGTCATGTTGTATGTACTTTAAGCTATCAAGAGGTTTGAGCTGTTCATTGTACATTATTGTTATTTTAAACATAGGTGGTAAGTGATAATATCTACATTTAAGCTCATGCACTGGAGACAAGTGTGGTAAAGTGTAAAACAATTAAAAGACTTAAAAGAGGGAAAATAAGGGTTTTGCTTTAGTGAACAACATTTGGGTCTAAGGCGCCGCACAAGCAAAGGTCCATCTTTGAACACTGTTCTATAATTTCTAACGTCATATTATTATATTAATCGCATTTGTCTTATAATCTGTAAAAGTAGTATGCGCAGTTTGTCACTTTTGTCATATAGGAACTTTTTCATGGAATTCTCCTCTTTTTGGATGAAGTTGCGTATATAAAACACTTCATGATTTAGATACTCTTCTGATCATTGACCACTGTCCAGTCAAGGATGAGAACCATGGTTGGGAAGTTCTGTTGGAAATAATAGAAATCCCAACAGATAATAGAAACCCCAATAGAAGGCATAAAGGGTAAAGTTTGAAGTATACAGCTTGGCAAAAGATGGCAAAATTTGGAACAGAGCCAATTAGAAGGTAGGTATAAGTAGAAATTTAAATATGTTAACGAATTTAAATCAGTTATTTTAAGGCATTTTTAGTGGGAAATGGGTGAGGGGGCTACTGTGGGAGTTTGCAATGCATTTGTTTATTTCTTTCAGTACCATGCAGCCTAGCAACTGTCTCTATTTTCTCAAACAATTTTCTTAGAAAAAACGATCCCAAAAACTCGTGGGCCTTATTTGGCTAAAAGGGTTGAACTGATGAAATTGTGCGATGAAATTGTGCATAAAAGAATAATGTGGAATCATGAGCCTCAAGGGTCCGGCTAATTTCATTCCCAAATGTGGAATTATAATCCAAAACCATGATTATGAGTCTACGAGTAAGAGACACGAAAAGATTATTGAATGTAGAAAAAGCTATCAATTCGGGATGTCATCATGTACACAAAGTCCAACAGACTTAGATGTTTCTTGATTCACTGAGATGCATATCTTCCCTGTGTCCATTCTGATACGGATATTTAAATAGGATATTGAAACCACCAACTTTTTTGCATCTAAATTCTCGTTTTAGAATTCTTATAAGGTTAGGTGCAGAATGATGTATGCATAGAACCCTCAACCTATTACCAAAATCAATACACTTGCTCATTTGATATCCAACCTGAGCTAGTTTTGTTGAGGTATGAGTTTTGAGTATATGTTTTTTGTCCTTTGCTTCTCTCAGAGTAGCAGGATGAAATGATGAAACCACTTCCTAAAAAGATAGATCCACGATCTTTGTAGTATCGGACCTCCATGATAAAGTTATGTATTATGTATATATACACATTGCATACTTAATAGGACACATCTTTAATAACCATTTTTCGTTTCCGGCACTTTTTAACACTTCTTAGTCCTTACGTACATTTGCAGCTTTAAGATGTCTTATTGGTACCTTGTGAAGTTTACTGAAGTTGCATCATTAGGACATGATTTTTTCTTTATTTTATGCGTGATTTTAGAAAAGGTAGAA